AAAAAAAAAAAACAATATTGATTATTACATTTTTCACAATCAAAAAGTATTATAGTTTCTTATTTAAAACTATGAAAAAAATTCAACACTTGTAAGCCATAAACTCTTCTGAAAAGTATTGAAATGATGGATCTCTGTTGATTGCCTATAGTCTGATTAATTTTCTATGATTTTACTTTGAAATAAACGAAGTTACAATAATTTAATATTTTTTTCAAATTTTTCATCCCAATTATTTATTGAAAATTTCTCATTTACCTATCTTTTTATACACTTTGAGTATTTTTAATGAAATAAAAAAAAATATAATATTGTCAGCACTTTTTCATCGTTGACTAGTAAAACATTCCTGACTTACCGACATTATACGCTCGTTTCACGGTCGTTTCACCTACAAACTACCGTGCAATGACAGACGATCGATCGATGATCTACGATTTTTACTTAGGTAAAAAATCGGAGAAGTCAAGTAAAAATTTGGTTTTTCGACGAGTGAAGTATGATAACTATACAGAATAAAAATCATAAAGTAACAGTGAAAATCGTTCACAGCTATACTCATCGTTCACTGTCAAACGACGGTCGTTCGACAGTCAAGTGACGGTTATTCGACGATAATTTGTCTACACTGTGAATTGACGGTGCTTTCACCGTCGTTTCACGATCATTTTACCGTGACTACGAATCCGCCAGGGTAGCTAAAATATTGCATAATTCCAATTACTGAAAATAACAAAACATAAAAGTAGAAGAGAGTTAACGAACCTTACAAAAATAATGGAACGTACGTTTGCACTTAAATGGAAAAACCTTAGTCGGTATTATTAGTTTCAATGTGAATATAATATAAATAGCTTTATAATTAATATAAATTTGCATGGATCTCTTTAAGGGTAAAGAATATACTTAATTGATAAAGAATTTAGCAGACAATTCTTATTAGAAACATGGAATTATTTTATTTATTCAATCATTTCTATAATAAACACATTGTCACTATTGTGATTGACATTATTATATATTGTGAGGCTTAAGTGGAATAAGAAATAACTTAATTGTCGGGGAACTTGTTACGGCAGTCATGAAAAAACCACCGAAGCATTTTATAATGCTCCCAGTAGGGTCTCTCTTTTCGGTCCATCACGCGAAGTTCCTAAGAGAAAAAAAGACTTATCATAAATAAAAATGAAAATTATTGTTCAATGATTAAATATTAATTTATATTAAGTTTCACTCACCATGAATTTATCGACCAATTTACAAAACCTGTCGTAACAGTCGTAAACATCTTTGTTTCGACGTCGAAACACTGCGTCGTTGGCAATATCTCTATTGAAATAAAGTATAACAAGCGTTAGATTGACTTGGAATAAATATAAATAATTAATATTAATAATAAAAAAAATGGAAGTGTCTATTCACACGCACAAAACTCCTGATAAATCCACGCCGCGTAAATGTAAGAGCTTTAAATCCACGCTGCGTGAATGTAAAGGCCCTTGAATGAATAGACACGTTCAAAAAAATTAATAATTATATTTATCACTATTATATTGAAAATTTGATAAAAAAATTACTTACTGCCACCAATTAAGATTAAATAACTTCACGTCTCGCCAGGTTGTATTGAAACGTACATCGTAATGACGAGTACGTAGATAGATCAAGTGATCATCCTCAGCATATGTCCCTAGAAAAGTAAATTCAGTTAATAAGTAATTTTTTTAATAAAGCAAATATTAATTATGAGTAAAGAAATATAAATTATAATTTGATATTTACAGCGTCTCAAATCGTGATACCACAAGTATTCGTACGGATAATACATGATTTGTACCGATAAGTTAACCACCAGTGTCTAACAACGACTTACTCAGACAAAGTTGTCTCAAATAGATGAAGACCATCCAGCTCATTATCATTCGTTCCTTAGTCCAATAATAAACCGAAACAATTTTGCCGTGATGTGCAAATATTTGAATGATGATTTGACCGAAAGTAGTTATTTATTGATTGCGCATGCGCGTTAACTTACGATTTAAATTTATAATTTCTTTTGTCCTTTTTTACTAAAAAACTGCGAATTTTATCAATTTTATTGGGTTTTAATAGATGGCAGATGATAATAGATCTTAGAAAATAATCCCAATCAATACGCTTAAGATCTAAATAAACTGATAGAAATTAAGAAAAAAAAATTGGTTTCCGGAAAAAAATGGAAAATCACCTTAAAGTAGGCCCACTTAAATACAATAATAAATTTATTAAAATAGTTAAATATTTTAATTACCTTTGAATCACTTTACTAAGCTTCAGGAGTTTCAAAGGGGAAGTAAAAGAAGTAAAAGAGGCAGTAAAAGAAAACATTACTAAAGACGAGATAGCTCAAGCAGCAGTTACTGAACTACTAATTTCTATGCTACTTATATTAGATATGAACTGGAACCAGCATCTCTTCTTATAAAATATTACAAAAATGTCAACCGTTCGATATGCTACGCCAACCTGAAGATTAGAATACAGAAATTTGTCGACGTCATATTACGTGCATTAAATTATTATATTATTATTCTTATACAACAATTTATAAAAAAATTTAGTTTTTAATAACTATCATTATTATAAAATTTTGTCTTGAGATTTAAAAAATTTTAAATAACCTTTAAAATAAAATAAAATGAAATAAAATAGAATATATTATTAGATTAAATACTAATCTATAAATAATAGTTGTTGGAGTTCTTCAAAAGGACTCCAACAAACGTTACACTTAAATTCTGGAGTAGCTCCTGAGATAAATTGAAATAAAATCTTAGTTGTGCAATGTCTGCAAAGGGTGGTATGACCGCACGGACTAAATATGTTTTGCGTTTCACTAGTAAAGCATGCAACACATAAAATCGGATCACCATCTTGATTTAAAAGGTTGACTGCTGGATTTTCATTTTCCTCTGAAATAACAATAATATCAGCACTTATTAAATAGTCTATATTTTATTTATTATATAAATAGAAGTTACCTATCATTTGTACAAGTGTGGTCGCCCTCTCAATACTCATTGGATCTGAAAAATTAAAATTTAGTTAAAATATTTGAAAAATTAAAATTTACTATAAAAAAATTTGCAGAAAAGTTTCGATTCTTTTTTAACAAAGAATAAAAACTTGCAATTTGTAATTGATAAAGAATAATTTCTTGGCTCAAAAATTTTTTCTCTTGCCTTCAGAAACACACTCTCTTCAAAATGATGTTCTTCGTTCGAGCCTTTCATTCTTGAATCAAATTAAATTTTTTACCAGTGTAATGAAATTTTATATTTTACCTTGTACGACAGTAACTTCTGTGGGTTGAGCATCAGCAGCTTGTTCGGGTTGAACATCAGCAACTTCTTCGGTTTGAACACTAACAGCTACATCCTCGCTTTCAGATTCCATGATGTTATCCGTGTCATCGGTAAGCTGTGTTATTTTCTCCAATTCTAAAACAAAAAAAAATTATTTATTGTTAGTTAAAAGTCAAAAGAAGTTGTCAAGAAGATTAGACAAAATTATAAAATATCTGACCGTTGTACAACCTAGCATTGCTTGCAACTCAACATTGTACGTCATTCCTTGCCGGACACTAATTCTTTTATACTGCTTAAAGTTTTGATCCGTTTAGCCAGACGAAGACAAATAATTGAGAACTGACAACATTTTTCAATAATCTCCATAACAAATTCTTTTGAGAATTGCAAAAAAATAAATGATTTTGGTAGATAAAATAAAAAAAAAAAAAAAAAAACGGTTTAAAAGAGAAACCAAGTAGTTTGTTCCCTCAAATAAGTTTATTGGTCTACAATTGACGCGACTCAACTGGATGAACGGGCAATAAAACTCCAAGTTTCAAAATAGGTAATAAGGAAATAAATTGAAGTAAATTACTTGATTTATAATCCAACTCCTCATAAATATCAGTGTCATTGATGAAACCGATGCTTTGAAGATCTAGACCTGTGGTGATAAAATGCAATGAAATTAGTTTAAATACTTGTGAGAAAAGCATGAAAAAATTTTGGTAGGGGTAAATTTGGATGTTATAATAAAGTAATTAACCTGATTTTAATGAAGAATTCTGAGAATTATTATCTGAGAAACAATCAGTATCCGTCTCAGCTTCATACTCGCGTTCAAACTTACAGTTTTCAAGAATGTCGCGTACTAAGAAGGAACAACTTTTAATAAAGGTATTTAAAGTGATCTGCTCCTTCTCCAGCACTCTTGCATTTTCACAATACTGCGCTTTATCTACTAATGCTCGGGTCCTTGGCGTAGCAACATAGACTTTTTTCAAGTTTAGTCTAGGTAAATCTCGTACAGTAGACATGCTCAATTTATTTATGTATTCTAAAATATTTTTAACTTCCCGCTAAAAATCTCAGATTTTCAAAAATCGGGAAGTTATTGGTTTTACCGCGTTTTTCGAAAATCGAGTTTTCATCAGATCTCGACGTTTTGAGGTCCTAAGAAGCTTCCCTGACTATTCCCGCAAGGGTGTCACTATGTCTGTATGTATGTGTGTGTGTGTGTGTGTGTGTTT